GTTCTTCCGCATTCGAAGTGAACTCGGAATCCTTGACTCCACGATGATCTAAGTTGTGCATCTAAATTTACTAAACATCTACTAACTTGAGCGTCGGAGAACTTTTTCTTTTTTGCAGGTACCCCGTCCATAAAATCAGGGGGAACCATGCAAACAGCGCTGTCCAGGAGACACAACAGCGCTGTTTAGGGAAACACCGTCAACCAGAAAGTTCTCCAACAGCGCTGTCTATCTAGACCAACAGCGGTGTCCCAGGGAGTACCTTACACTTTTACTTCCAGAAACTTTTTCAACAGCGATGTCGTTTAGAGCAACAGCGCTGTCCAATTTTACAAATTTTTTTTATCGTAAAACAGCGATGTAGAGAAACCCAACAGCGCTGTTCAAATGGGTTCAAACCCTTTCACCATTCCAGAAACTTTTGAAACATCGTTGTAGGGCACTCAACATCGCTGTCGGTTTTACTCTTGTTTTTTTTAAAAACTTGACGCAGAACAGCGCTGTACAAGGAACAACAGCGCTGTCCCAACAGCGATGTCGCCTGTAGAACATCGCTGTTCTGGTCAAATTTTTCAAAAAAATATCCGTTGCACCTGCTTTAATTGCTCCAACAACTCTTTTTTTCAAATTCTTGAACGTTGGCCACCCTCTCTCCTATATATTTGGACCCCCTCTTCTCATCTTTACACACACAAACACAAACTTCTTCAATCTCCTTGCATATTTTATCCTCTCTAACATTCTTTTTGAGATTTCTTCATCACCATGGCCAAAGATAAGAACAGGGCAGGAGCTTCCGGAAAATCCAAGGCAAAATCCCGGGCACCGGTAACCAATCCCGAGGATCGCATCGACTACAACGATGGGACGTATCTCTGGTTCGATTCCGAGGAGGAGCGCACCCGTTTTCTCACCTTCTTCTCTAAACGGGTTGTGGCTCCCCCACGAATCATCCCGGAGCGCTACCCGGAGCTGCAAGGCTACGACGACCTTGACGCACAGCTTCATCAAGCCGGTCTTTGGCCGTTCGTCTCCCGGGCACGCAAGGAGATCAACCCGGCACTAATTCGGGCCTTCTACTCCAACCTCCGCTGTGAGGACGACGTGCTCTACTCGCTCGTCAAGAGCACGCCGATCGAGCTCACTGTGGAGCGGTTTGGACGCATCGCCGGCCTCCCCTTCCAAGGCGACGATGTGTCACACTATGGTGGAGAGGATTGGGTGCTCAACAACGAGGGCCTTATCCTCAACGAGCTTGGCATCACCGAGCTCAAACGCCATGCCTCAGGCCGCCCAACCATCCACTCCGCCAAACCCGAAGGCCGCCTGGTCCTCTACATCGTCACCCGAATCCTCAAACCCAGGAAGCACGGCCACACCATCATGCACGGTGAAGACCTCAAACTTATGCACGCAATCATGCACTCGGCCCCAATCAGTTGGGCAAAGTTTGTCATGATCAACATGACGATTGCTGCGTCCACCGAGCACGACCACCTCCTCCCGTACCCGTTCTTGGTGATGGACATCCTTGAACGGTTCAGGCTAACCACCACCATTGGCCCGCTCATGAAGGCCACGAAGATTTGGACAATCAGCAACCAAACCTTCATCAAGCGGTCGGACAACGCCGCAACTGCCACTGCCGCGCCACACCGCACTGCCACTGCCGCTGGCCCAGCCGAACCCCAGGCCCGGGCCAACCTTGCCTCCATCGCCGACTCCCTCAACCGGCTCCACCTCAAAGTTGACGGGATGGGTGGCTACCTTGAACGGCTCGACGTGGCTGTTCAACGCCAAGGATACGCGATGAATTCGTACTTCCAAGGCATCAACTACGTCCCGCCACCACTCTACGGCACCTTTCTCGACGAAGTCTACGGTGATGAAGACGAAGAGGATGAGTCCTTCGCCCAGTCAAGCTCCCCGGACGAGGATCAGTTTGACGATGCCGTTGATGGTGATGAAATGGACGTCGACGACGACGAGGAAACCGACGACGAAGACTAGGACTCCCCTAGAACTTCTATCTCTTTTACTTTGATTATCCTTTTTTTTAATGCTTCCGTTGTACTCAGCTATTTCCCTTTATTAAATAAAATCATTTCGTTTATCTTTTTGTTAATGTCAAAAGGGGGAAGAAAAGGGCTATGCATATACTAAGGGGGAACGTCTCTCTAAACGAGACCGTTTGATTTTAATCCAAGTAAATTTTTTTAGGCACAAATTAAGGGGGAGCCTTTTCACAACTCTTGAAAAACAAACATCCCTTAGTATGCATATCCCCGTCTTGTTTGCCATTATCAAAAAGGGGGAAATTGTTGGAACACGGGTTTACGCCTTCGTCGTACTAAACTGTGTTCGTTTATGACAGGTTTTGATAATGCCAAACCGCCGCAACATATCGAAGCTAAAGTGAGCAAAACTAAGGCGAAGGAACATGGCATGATGACTTGAGAACCAAGAACCCAGAATCAAGAACGAAGAACTAGAATTGTATTGAGTCGGTCTTAATGTGATCAAGACCGGCACAAAATTCCAAATCTTGGCTCTCTAGGCTTAATTCATAAAAATCCCTTTTACATGTTCAAAAATACTTTTCTTAAGCATTAAACTTGGCTCAAAACAGTTGGAGTTCGCACAAACCAAAAACCAAGCCATCCGGCGTTCGGCTTTCAGAAACCGGCGTTCGGCTATCGGTTTTCGACATTGGTTTTTGGCATTCGAACTAACCAAGTGGTTTTCAACTTTTTATGACTGATTTTTACTTCTGGGCATATTTAAATAGTTCTCCAACAAAAACGCCTCAAAAACCACTCTCCGTTTTTAGTCGTTTAGTGAAAACCATGCGAAACAGCACGATCTTGGTTAGCCATGGTTTTCAACTAAATGACGTGGTTTTCAAGGTGTTTTACTTGATTTCTTAGCAAAATGCAATAAACAAATGTTATCTAAACTTGGTTTTTATTTTGGGGAACTTGCGTTTTTGATATCGGCTAACGGCGTGACTAAACCAACCATGGGTCTGGCTAAACCAAGACCAACAGCGATGTTGAGGTAATCAACAGCGTTGTCTGGCCTGGGTAGCCAAAAACATGGTTTGGCGTTAAGTCTTCCAACAGCGATGTTGGAATTTAGACATCGCTGTTGAGCCAAGGTTGGTTTTCCAGAAACTTCTGGAACAGCGATGTAGGCTTCCCTACAGCGCTGTCTAACCTAAGCCAAAAATATAGTGCATTGGCAGAAAGTTTTTGGACAGCGATGTTGACCCAGCAACAGCGCTGTCAGGCCAAAATTCCATCTTCAAAGGCAGACCTAAACATCGATGTTCTAGTATAGGACATCGATGTAGAGACCTGACCGTTGGAAGGAATTTAAGGCTAAAACTTTCCTTGTTTGGAAGTCAACAGCCAAAACAGCGATGTAGGGGTTCTAGACATCGCTGTTGGCATGACCGTTGCTTCCCATTTTTTCAAACCACAAGCCTAGAACAGCGATGTCCAGGCCTAGGACAGCGCTGTCTAGGTGAATTTCAGCAGATCCAATTTTAATCAAATCCCACAAATTGTGCCAATCACCCCTTAAATGTTTTGGTCCGTTGGAGCCCATTTTTTCCACTATAAAATGGGGTGTTTGGGTCTGTTTTACACATCACATTACTTCACAACTCCTACTCTTTCATTGCAAACCATTCTTTAATTATTCATAGCTTTTGAGAGCCATTTTTGTGAAGCTTGTGTTGCGTTCTTGAGCGTTCTTAGTTTACTCAATATCCACTCTAAAAAGAGAGTATTGTTCTTGAGTGATTTTAGTGTTCTTAGACACTTGACAAGAGAAGGTACTTCTCTTGTTGTTCGAAGGAAGGGTTGTTTCCTTCGAAGGGTCGTTGAGGTTCGTGTGACTCGAATTCTCAAGTTGTACGGGTTTGTTAAGCACCGTTAAGCTTAACGAGATAGTAGTGTAGCTCGAGAGAGTCTCTCGGGAGGCTGGATTAGCCACAAGTTGTGGTGAACCAGGGTAAAATCGGTGTGCCTCTTTCTTTTCTCTTTACTTCTCGCTTATTCATTTTTATTCCTGCGATTTCTTGATCAAACGCTATTCACCCCCCCTCTAGCGTTGGTCT